TGACTCATTTGAAATTTTATTGCAAAATAAAGGTGGTCTCAAGCACTTTTGTAACTCTGATTTTTTTTATTTTTTTCTTTTTCCAGGAGAATCAGAAGAGCTGAGGGATTTGCTGCTGAACCCTCACCTCCGGCAGCTGCTGCTCACCATCGACCAGGCCCAGGACAAAAGCTCCCTCATGAGGAAATTCATGCAGGAGCCTCTGTTTGTGGAGTTTGCAGACTGCTGCCTGGGAATTGTGGAGCCTCCCGAGAAGGAGAACATTCTTCCCGAGTGAGCTCGGCTTTGGGAATGTTTTTATCACCTTGAGATTTTTTTTTATTTTTGAGCTTTGCCAGCAGCCAGAGCTGTGTGTCTTGGTCACTTTGTGGATGCTGATTCTCTGATTTCAGTTTAGAGCTGACAAACTGTGACAGGATTATGTTGGACAGAATTTTAGATCCTGGGGTTTCAACCTGATACTCTGTGGATTTTTTCTGGTTGTACAGAAATGCTGGCARCCACKGGAAATGTTGCTTCATTATGAYAATATTAAAAATAATTCCATTTATTTTAATCCACGAGCACTCTGAGATATTTTTGTTCACTAAATGTTGTTGGCAAGGCTCGGACAATTTGCCAAGGCATTGAGCAGTTTATTTGGAATGTCATACACAGAGCAGCTGAACATTTCTGAGCTCCACGAGCAACAAGGGGATGGAACAGAGCCCCTGGGCAGGGTGGTGCTGTTGGGGAGTTCAGATTGTGCTTCTGTAGATAAAAACAAGAGCCCAGCCTTGYTTTTCCCTGAGACATCTGCCCTGGGTGCTGCAGTTGGCTGCTCCTCACTCTCTTGGACACTCGTGGTCAGTCAGGACGGGTGCACTGCAGAGAATCCAGCAGCAATCAGGAATATTTGCATTATTTCTCTCTCATGCCCAGCCTCTTGCTCGTCCAGGCAGTGCCAGCAGCTTTCAGTTCAAGTATTGATTGCTTCAAGCACCTGATCAGTTTGATTTGTTCCCTTAGTGTTGATATTTCCGTGTGCACTGTGGGGGAGGACGAGCTGCCCCCASCTTTTAATTTAACATATTTTAATTTATTTTATATTCCATCATCTCTAGGTACAAGGCAGCGCTGTGAAAGCTCTGAGGTAGCAGCAGAAGTGGACTTTGAGTGATTTGAAAGCAGCAGCTTGCAGAGAGCCAGGGCAGCAGGGYCTATGTGGGCAGGAGCTCCTTTCTGTCCAGCAGGATCTGGTTGAACCCCGTGATGGAAAACGAGTCCTTGTGGGGGCTGACGGTGGCAAAATGCAGGGGGGACCTCCTGCAGTGGAACTTGACTGAGCCCTGCAAGGACAAGAGGGGGAGAGCTTTCAGATTTCACATTTGCCAGATTTGCAGCTGCTTTTGTTACTCTGAGTTGGTGCTTGAAAGTGTGAACACCTGGTGGGTGAGGAGAGAGGAGCCCACTACAAACCGATTTAAGAGCAGTGGTTATTGTAGAATAATATTGTAGAACACACCAGCACTGCAAATTGAACTGAAACTCGCTCAGATTCTGCAGATGGGAGTGTTTGTGCTGAGCCTGGCACAGTTTGGGGTGGCACAGAACACACAGTTCAGTGCAAACACCAAGTTCCCACCCAGACCCAAAGGTGCTTTGTCACGATACAATTTGTGAGGGCAGCCAGGGCCTGTGGCTGGCTGGGAAATGCTTTCCCAGAGCATTCCCAGGCTCAGAGCAGCTCCCCCGAGCTGCAGGTGAGGTGAGGGTCATTACCTGTGGCAGGGCTCTGATGGAGGCGATGCCACAGCCCAGGGAGGAGYTGTCCCCTCTGCCCTGGAGCCCCCCGAGGCAGCTCAGCAGTGCCAGGGCCCTGTGGAGCCCTGGGATGGTGACAGGAGCAGCAGCCAGGACCAGCCCCAGGGGCCAGAGCTGGACAATGGCCTGCAGAGGCCACGCTGAGTCCAGGGGACAGGGAGCTTTGGCCCAGGGGGCTCCAGGAGCTGGGAACTCCTTTCCTTCACCCTCGTCCAGTTCTGCTGCGGCGAACGCGGCCATTTTTGCCTGAARAAGACACAGAACAACAAAATCTCACTGTCCTGGACACAGCTGAGGACTGAAAAACTCAGAGCCTAAGAAACAGGGAATCTGGAAGGGCAGCCCAGCCCTTGGGACACTGCCATGCAGGTAAGGAGTGAGTTTACTCTGCAGGATGAGCTGTGTAGGACTGGCATCTCCTCTGCCCATCAGCTGGTGTTTTCTGGAGCACTGACAGCGCTGGGTTGTAGTTCCAGCAGTGACTGCTCTTTCTCAGACACCAAAAAGCCTCAGTGGCTCCCCTGTAGCCCCATCTCACCTTCCATCTCCTCCAGCCCCGCTGGATGACATCGGCAGCCCTGCGCATCCTCTGGAAACGATTCTTGGCTAACCAGCAACGAAAAGCTGGGGATTTAACAGAGAAAAAACTGAGTGCAGAGAATSCCAGCAGCTCCTGCACACTCTGGAATCACCCAGTGTGACTGGAAATGCCCCCCTTGCTCTGTTATTTCAGCCCCACCTGCTTGGATCAGAGTTGCAGAGCGTTTCTCCTTCGCCGCTTTCTTCTCTTTAAATCTTCTCCAGCAGCACTGAATGCAAAATGCCTTTTGGTTTAACACCTCTGCTCTCCTGGCTTCCAGGAGCTGCAGCTGCAGTGGGRACAGGAGCCTGGAGTTAGYACTCAGGGTTGGAAATGTGCTCAAACTCCTYCTCTTTTACAGCTGCCTTTTTTAAAAATCATTACTGGAATTTTGACAGTTTGTCCACTGGCAGCACAGAGACCATTAAACAAAAYGCTGTGGAGAGCTRGGTTCTCATGAGTGATTGATTTTGATAATTTGATGGAAAATGCCAAATTCTGGTCACCCTGAACCATCACTCACCACAGAATTGGCCAGGAACACTTTGGTTTTGCCACAATAAACTGAGGGGGTTTCTGYTCCGTTCCCTGTGTGCTGAGCAGGGGTTTGTCCTGTAACAGCCTCCTGGAGGATCTCCAGAACAGCAGCTTTGCCATCATCCACCACCAGAGTCTCTCCTGGAAATGAAAGRTTGAGGAGGAATTGTCACAAAATGTGGAAATCAGGACCAGGGAATTGCCTTTGCACTGAGATTTCTTGGCCATTTAGAGGGGAAACACCTGCAGCAAGAGGGGAGGAGGTGAGGGCTGACAGCATTGATGTGTTTGGGGCTAAAATGTGACAGCACAGATTGCACCAGGTGCCACCAACAAGAAAACCAGTGGGGTTAAAACCAGTGTTTGAATTGGTTGGTGCTGCTTTCCCATCTATTATAACCTCAGTTATCCACAGGTTAAAATGTCATTTTTTTGGGTAGACTGGAGCAGGGAGGGCTCAGGTGTTCTCCCATTGTTAAAGCATCCTCCAAGGAAACAGGAGAAAGCAGCAGCAGTGCAATGAAGAACAAACTGAGCAGCTCAGTCCTGAGAAATTCACATTAAACACAAAACTCAAAGTTGTGGCAGCAAAGAACGAAAACCAGTGAGTTGTAGCCCTGATGTACTGCAAGGTGCAGGAAGGKGAAACAAATCCCACCCAATTTCCAKCTATCACAGGGCTCTGAGAGCACTGACAGGAATTYACTGCAGCAATTCCAGGTTGTTAAAGCCATTTCTGGGACACAGTGCACCATTTTTCACAGGTTATCCAAGTGAATCCCTTTGGAAATAGAGGCAGACCCAGTTCAGAGCTGTCCCTGGATTGTTCCAGAGGTTCCTGCACGCACAGTGCAGGATGGCTTTTGCATCATTCCATCCTGGATACTGTTTGCTTTGCTGCTATAAATATTTCTGAGGAGATGAGAGCATTTGAAGGTCCTGAAAACAAACAGAAGCAATTCTTGCTTACAGGAAGACATCTGGTGGCTCTGCTGGTGTTCATGGGGCTGGGCTGATAAGGGAACCAAAAGCTCATCCCCGTGTTTGGCCAATTGTTTTGATTTGTTTGCAGCTTATTGCCCCCTCAAGATAAAAAAAAGACTAAAAACCCATCACAAAGAGGCTTTTGCAGTTAATGGGTTTGTAATTGAGGGGGAAAGACTCAGTGTGTAAGTAATTTCCAGCCTGCACTTCCTTACTTCCCCCATTTCCACACAGTGAGTAGATTTCCACCAGTTTTAYTCATCTGGTGCTCACTGGTCCTGTTTCCCACAGCTGCTGGTTATGGAACAGACCATAACTGGGTGAAGAGGGGATTCATTTGGGGCAGAAAAAGGGGTTGCAGAAACCTTCAGTACAAAATGTAAGCACCTGATGAGCTCCTCCTTTCAGAGGTTTCATTGCAAAGGCATTACCTGTAGGCTGGATTGGGTTTGTTTAAAGTCCATCCTCACTCTTGCTTAAAAAAAAGAGAAGTTTGCAAAAGGTGGAAGAAGCAGCAGAGTCCAGGTAAGCTGGAAGGTCAGTGATTCAGCAAGGAAACAAGGGAAAAAAAAAAAAAAGGAAGGAGAAGGAAGATAAGCCAAAAAATGAGTGGTTTTCAAGTCTATTAAAGAATCAACTTTAAATCAAATTATATTGGGTGAGGGGAACCCCAGACTGAGACTGTTCCACCCAAGGGGAACACAGAAAATCAGCAGTAAGAGGAGAGATTTTAAGTGTYAGGCAAATTAGAAACTCAGGTTGGTGATTGGTTAAAGAAATAATTTGAGAATAGTGGTAAATACAGCAATGATCTGAGATCAAATGGATGTAGTGACAATTTTACTTGATTGTATAGGGATCACCTGAAGAACTTACCTTTGTTCTCAGCAGGATGAGAGTTGCTTTTATCAGGCACTCTTTTTTTCCTGGAGCCTGAGGATTTTCTCAGTATTTCGTAGCGTTCAGTGAAACTTTGGAAAGGGATCCTGACAGAGACAAAATGCACAGTGAATTCCAGCAAGAGCCATGACTGTCTTGGTAAATAAATGATTTTTTTTTTTTTTGCTGTATGGTAAATAATTGATCTTTTTTTGCTGTATTGGTAAATAAAAGATTTTTTTTTTTGCTGTATTGGTAAATAAATGATTTTTTTTTTGCTGTATGGTAAATAATTGATCCTTTTTGCTGTATTGGTAAATAAATGATTTTTTTCTGTATTGGTAAATAAATGATTTTTTTTTGCTGTATTGGTAAATAAATGATCCTTTTTGCTGTATTGGTAAATAAAAGATTTTTTTTTTGCTGTATTGGTAAATAAATGATTTTTTTTTTTTTGCTGTATGGTAAATAACTGATCCTTTTTGCTGTATTGG